CATCAGGCACTGTGCTAAGCCCCAGGGATACAAAAGAGAGGTAAAAAGCATAGCCCCTACCCTCAGGGAGCTCACATTCTAATGAGGAAAAAAAGCATGCAAAAAAACCTTGTGTGTACAACACGCATACAAGATAAATGAGAAGTAATCCCAGAGGAAAGACGCTAGAGAGAAAGACACTTGGACACACAATCGGCTGGATGAAAACTTCCGTGGCTGAGCTTTCTCAGGTGTAAAATATGGATAGCACCTGTGTAACTTGCCTCGCGAGGTTGTTGTCTATTTAGGTTAGAAACCCCATTCCACAGGGACAGCTAGGTGGTGCAGTGGATAGAGCTCCCACCTTGGAGACAGGAGGACCTGAGTTCAAATCCCGCCTCAGACACATGACACTTACTAGCTGTGTGTGACCCTGGACAAGTCACTTAATTCTGATTGCCTCAGCAAAAAAAAAAAGGAAATCCCACTCCTTTTAGGTATTCCAGTTAAGAGATTAAGGAAAATTAATAACAATAATAGCTAGCACTTCCATAGTATTTTAAGATTTGCAAAGCACTTTATAAATAGTCCCTTGTTTGATCTTCAAACAACCCTAACAGGTAGGTGCTCTTATCCCCATTTTACAGATGAGAAAACTGAGGCAGACAGAAGGTTAAGTGCCTTGTCCATGGTCACACAGCTAGTTTCTGAAGTCAAAATTTGGACTCAGGTCTTTCTGACTCCAGGTCCAGTGCTCTGCGCACCAGCTGCCCTTACTATCGAGCTGAGACCTGTTAAAGACCTTAGCTTGAAAAGGCCAAGGCCTCCCACTGCATCCTGGGCCATCTCCAGTTGTCCTGATCCATATCTGGCCACTGGACCCAGATGGTGCTGGAGGAGACCGTGAGGCTGGTGACTTTGCACAGCCCTGCCTCACTTAAATCCAAGTCACTCGCATGTCATGGCATCACCTCCCTGATGTCATGGTCCTCTTTGCGAATGAAGGGCAAACAGCGGCAATGAAATGAACTTGAGATCTTAGTGGGGAGAAGCAGTGCACGGTGTCTGCCTTCATTTAGGAGTCTTTATGCAGAGGTTAGATGACTACATGATGGATATATTGTAGAGCAGATTCCTGCATTAGCTGGTCAGAAAGTGAGGCATCGCCTGTCAATTGGGGAATAGCTGGACGAGTTGTGATATATGATTGTGATGGAATATGATTGCGCTGTAAGAAATGATGAAGTGGATGGTTTCAGAAAAACCTGGGAAGCCTTATATGAACTGAGCAGATGGGTTGGGATTTAGTCGGCGCCTTCTACTTCTGAGAATCTGATTCTGTGCTGGAGTTTGTGCTCAGTAAGGACAGATAATGACTTGGACTTCATGGTGTCTTCCCTGAGTGGGGATGAGTGTTGGGAAGATGCCAGCAAGCAGAAATGGCGATCGGTTGTCTCTGCCGAGTAAGAGGATCCTAAAAGACTGTCCTGAGAACAGGCGTATCTATTTATGGGATGATGCTGTCTATCAGGCTTGGCAGAGTTGGTGAACTCACCACAAGCTACATTAGCTTCTTGGCTCAGAATTGGAGGGCTCTAGATTGGAAGTACGACTAAGTTGACGAAACACAAATATTTGTCTAAAGTTAGCTCCTGGCTCTGTCACTGGCCAAGAGTTTATATTTGGGTGAATTACTTAGTTCTTCATTAGCTTGTCTGTAACAAGAAGAGGGTTGTTGGAGGTTAATTAATGTTTTTCTCAAAAAATGATTGTGAACTTAAGCTTTTCAAGTGGTGGAGAAAGGACTATTGCAGCTTGTGAGTCAGAGGATATGAGTAAATGTGTGACCAGTACCGAAAAGAGTGGCCAAGGATGCCGAGGGAATCAGGGCGCGGTGAAGGCCAAAAAATGGAGGGGAGAAAGAAACAGAAATCAGATGAAAGTGAGTTTGTCCATCATGGAGAGGGCATTTCAGAGAGCACAGTGGAAAGGGTAGGGAGATCTGGAGTGAGACATTGGGGGAGAGGGTTAAGGAGGATGAAAATAAGGAGGTGGGTCATTCATTGGGCATGGGGAATGGAGCTCAGATCCCTGGGACAGGGAGAGTATGAGGGAGAACAGGGAAGGCTCCTGGTACAATGCAAACACACCTGGGATGTTAAGGGGCAATCCTATGGTGCATTATCAGCTATTGACACCAGTCTAGACCTAAGAGCTATCACTCTGGAAAACAAAAGGCTGTGTTCTGAGGAAAGGTGACTCTGGATAGGGAAATTTCTAGCTCTAGAGTAGTATTAAGGGCACTAGATTTGAAGTCAGAAGACTTAGGTTTGAATCCAAGTTGTTTTATTTCTTTGGACCCCAGTTTCCTCATCTGTAAAAGGAGGGATTTAGAGTAGATGATGCCTTCCATATTTAAATCCTATCATCTCTGACTGATTCCCTTTCCCTAACTCCCCACCCCCCACCCCACCAACTGAATTCCCAGGTTGCTCCCCTAACAGTGCCACTGAGTCAGCCTCGGGACTTGGGAAAAGGATAAGAAAGTGGTTCTTATTGTTTTCTCTCATCTCTCTGTGCTTGTTCTTAGGTCCTGAACCTGTACCCTCCCTTCCCCTCATATCCTGTATTATGTTGTCATTCAATCATTTTCCAATTATGTCTGACTCCTCATGACCCCATTTGGGGTTTCCTTGGCCAAGATACTGGAGTGGTTTACCATTTCTTTCTCCAACTCATTTGACAGATGAGGAAATGGAAGCAAAGAAGGTTAAATGATTTGCCCAAGTTCACATAGCTAGTAAGTCTGAGGTCAGATTTGAACTCAAGTCTTTCTGACTTCTAGCATTCTATCCACTGTGCCACCTAATTGTCCCCATATCCTGTATTAGCTGGTCAGAAAGTGAAACATTGCCTGTCAATTGGGGAATAGCTGGACGAGTTGTGATATATGATTGTGATGGAATATGATTGTGCTGTAAGAAATGATGAAGTGGATGGTTTCAGATAAACCTGGGAAGACTTATGTAAACTGGGGATGGAGCCAAGAGGGCGGAGTAAAAGCAGTGACTTGCTTGAGCTCTCCCCCAAACCCCTCCAAATACCTGTAAAAAAAGACTTACATGAACTGAGGCAGAGTGAAGTGAGCAGAACCAGGAGAACATTGTACATAGTAACAGCAATATTGTAATGATGATCAGCTGTGAATCAGCTACTCTGATCAATACAATGATCCAAGACAATTCCAAAGGACCCATGATGAAAACTGCTATCCACCTCCAAAGAGAACTGGTGAACTTTGAGTGAAGATTGAAACATATTTTTTCACTTTATTTTTCCTACTTTTCCCCCCTGCAACATGACTAACATGGAAATGTGCTTTGCGTGATTTCATATATATAATTTATTATGTATAATATATATTTCTTGCCTTCTCAGTGGATGAGGGAGGGGCAGAAAAAAGGAGAGAATTCAGAATTGAAAATATTTTTTTTTAAATAGTGACAGTACTAATGTTTTGCCATATTAATCTTGAGCCACCTCCCGGATGCTTACTTTTTAGGCAAACTTTTCTCCTTGGTTCTCCTCACCCCTGATCCCAGTCCCAGGTACTCAGTGTCCTATGTCCTCTGGCTACCCACAGTCACCCACAATAGTGACTAATGGCAGAGGAGTATCTTGTAGAGAAAATCAAATCCAAAGAAATTATTTTCTAATAGTGGAATTGTATACCATGTCCAATGAACAGTAGTGACAGTGAATTTTTTTCTTCTAGTCAGGGAATCCTTTCTTAGTCCCTCAAATTATAAACTGTTTATTCCTTAAGAGGTCTGCCTTCATTGTCTGGTTTTAGCCAACCTTTCCAGATTCATCTCATCCCTTCACTCACTCTAACTTTTTAAAAAATTTATACTTTTACAACTGTATGACAATATGATAGGTTCTCTTAGTAATCCTAAGTATTTTATTTTATGCCTTTGAGAACATGATTCTGAGAAGAAGTCCCTAGACTTCACCAATAGGACACAGAAAATCTTAAGAATCCTTCACCAAGAGGAAGTGGCTGATCAGAACATTCTTATTTTTTCATTTTTTTTAGAACATTCTTATTTTTAACTTGTGTGTTCACAGATTAAAGCAAATATGAGACAAGATTTAACCAATTGAACCTACATATTGGTGTTAACTAGTGGAAAAATGGATTATTGATGTCTCATTTCAAAGTCTGCATATTAATAAAAGTTGCTGAGATTGGGTGTGTGTGTGTGTGTGTGTGTGTGTGTGTGTGTGTAATCCTTGTCCTAGAGGCTGTTTTACAGATAAGGAAATTGAGACCAGAGAAATTAAGTGACTTCCCAGGGTCACACAGTAAGCAGAAGGAAGAGTATGAACCCAAATCCATGGTTCTTTCCAACATACCATCCTGTCCTGTCCTTTAGTGCCAACCCCAGTACACCCATGGTAGCTGCCTTGTTTCCTTCCTTACTAAATTTAAACTCAGGCTCTTTTTTCTTTGGAATACTCCTCTGTGTCATAAAGCAAGTCATTTACCTCGGGGTTATCAGACTGGTGTGGACCTATTTCAGAAAGTTCTTCTTCTCTCATAAATTTTTTTCTTTTACCTATTTATCTTTTTGCCTAATTTTTTTTACCTATTTTTTCTTTTACCTATTTCCTGGCCTTTCTCTAGGTAACTATTCAACTGTAGGTAAAATCAGTTTTATGGTACAGACCTCCCCACTCCCACACACACTCACTGTCACACACCAAGTGGTCACCTACTCCATTTCAAATCCAGCAGAGGCAGGGATTCAGGGATTTGGAATTTCAGGTTCCTTTGGCCCAGTCCCATTACCAGCCTGAGACTCTGGCCTGTCCAAAGGGCTTATTGTCACTTTTAGTTGGTGAAGTACTATCAATATCCAGGCTAATTCTAGACTTTCCCGATCAAAGGGCATCCTTAATCATTTTCACCTGGTATAAAAATGATATTGTTGTAATACTTAGTCTACTCCCCACAGAGGAAGACAAGCTCAGGGCAAGAGGGAGGTGATTTGGCAAGTTTTGAGTCTCCGGCTGGTCTCTCCGGGGGAAACTTCGGCATGATGTGGAACTGGTGGTTTTGGTTTTGTTTGGCACTCTGCACCGCAGACCAATATAGGGATGAAGCAGTAAGAATCATGAATGAGACACCCTTAATCGATGGGTAAGTAGCTCTGCCTGTGAGAGGGCACCCCTTCCCCTCATCCCCTCCAACAATCAGAGAGTGGTGGCTGGCACAGGGATAAAGTGTCTTAAGTGATGCAGGAAATGCTGAGAGAGTTTGGATTCCCTTCCAGTCCCAGAAGCCCCTTTGCGCAATGTTAGTCCCCATCTAGATTTCTCTTTCTCCAACTTTAAATGGGATCAGAACAGTCTCCAAGACTATTCCACCTTAGCATATGAAGCCCCAGTCAAGCTGCTCAATTTCTGGTTCACTCAATAGGGATTCATGAAGCACCTACTGTGTGTTAGACACTGCCCTAGGTACTGAGGATAGTCCTTGCCCTTTTGGGGGGTTATTGGAGTACAGAAGATGCACACAGAGTAGTAAATACAAGGGAATTTGAAGGGGCTGAGAGTCCTAACCATTGGGGGTGTGGGCAAATAATGGAGAGATCTTTTGCAGCAGGAGGTAGTCCCTGAGCTAAGCCAGAAGAAATGACGGGTTGCAAAAGGCTAAGGGGAAGAGGTGGGAATGTATTCGAGGCATGAGGGGCTAGCATCTTCCAAGGCAGGGAGACAAAAGGTGGAATGCCCCATTTGGGGAAGAGCTACTGCCCAGTTTGATTGGAATGGAGAGTGGTGAATGATGCTAGGGAGGATAATTATGAATAGGAAGAGTAATAACTGATAGACGTTAATATTGTGCTTTAAAGTTTACAAAGAGTTTTGCCTTCTCTTGGCTGGTTTTAGAGTCAGGAGATCTGGGTTTAAAGTCCCCTCTGAGGCTGCTTAACACTATTAATCACAATAATTAGCATTTATGTGGCACTTTAAGGTATGAAAAGTGCTTTACAAACATCATCTCAGATCTCTGCTCCCTTCCCTTAGGAAAATTATTTTAGCAGCTTCATGGAAAATAGAGTAGAAAGGGGACAAACTTGAAGCAGGAAGACCAACCAGAAGGTTCCTGCAGTAATCCAGGTGACAGCTGATGAGGAACTGTACCCGGGTAGGGACCCGGTGAAGAGAGAGAAGGGCCCAGTGGGAGAGATGTTGTGGAAAAAGAACTGACGAGACTTGGAAAGCGATTGATTGTGAACAGTGTAAAACAAAGAGCCACAAATGACTGAGAGTTTGTGGACCTAGGGGATTAGAAAGATGGTGGGTCCCCTTGTCAGAAATAGGGGAGATTAGAGGAGAGATGGTTTTGAAGCAGCTAGTTCCATTTCGGACTTGTTGAATCAAAGATGCCTTTGGAGTATTCACTTGGGGAGATCCAAGGGGTCCTGCTAGACTGGAATCAGGAGAGGGAGCGAAGCGTGAGAGAGAAGAGAAGGGAGCCTGGACAGAGCCACTTAATTCACAAGAGTTGGATGATAGTATGACAAGGAAGACTGCAGAAGAGTAGTCATATGGGTAGGAGATGAACTAAAAGATAGGGGTCTTCGTACAGGAGGAGAGAAATCCTCCCCTAGGAAGAACGTTCTCTGGCTTGTATTGGATGACCATGTATGGCCACTGAGGTCTCTTCTAACCCTCAAATTCTGTGATTCTGTGAAAGTATCCCAGAGGAAGAAAAAGAGTATGACAGCTACAGGTAGGTCAAGGTGAATGACAATGAAGAAAAGGCCATCAGATGTAGCAGTTGAGGCCATTGGTGACCTCAGAGAAAACAGTTTTAATGGCAGTAGGGTCTGAAGTCAGGTTGTAAGGGCTTGAGAAGGGAATAGGAGGGGATAGACACGTGTAGAAGGCTTTTTTCTAGAAGCTTGGCTCTGAAAGAGTGAAGAGATATGGGATGCTAGTTTGGGGGGATGGCAGAGTCAAACACTGTTGCTGTTGTTAAAGGGATGGTTCAGACTAGGTTCCATCTGTAGGCAGTGGGAAAGGAGCCAATATATAAGAATCAGCAGAAGATTAAGTAGAAAGGGAAATCAAGTCAACAAACATTTATTAAGCACCTACTATGTGCCAAGCACTGTGCCAAGTTCTGGGGATACAAAAACTAGCCCGGATAACTATTTCAATATGTTTGGTTTCCTTTGAAATCATGTGCATTTCATTTTGTGCCTTTAAAAACATTATTCTAAGAAGCTTCATCAGACTGTTAGAGGGGCCCAATTAAAAAGGCATGGTTTACTCTAATGACAGAATTTCAGACACTGGAGAACAGATGGGAAGCAGAAGAGGTCTGAGAGGGAAGAAAGGGGAGGTGTATTGTTTGAGCCAAAGAACCTGAACTTCAATCAGTCGACAGCCAGCTCTAAAACTAGTTGGTGGACAGCTAGGAGGCACACTGCATAGACAGTGCCAGACCTGGAATCAGAAAAGCCTGAATTCAAATCCAGTCTCAGATACTTTCTAGCTGTGTGGCTGTGGGCGAGTCACTTAACTCTGTTTGCCTCAGTTTCTCCATCTGTTAAAATGAATTGGAGAAGGAAATGGCAAACCACTCCAGTATCTTTGCCAAGAAAACCCCTCATGGGATCACAGTCAGAAATGACTCAATAACAACAAAAACTAGTTTCCTTCCTCATCTAGAACTAAGTAAGCCCTATTTCTTTGAATTTAAAAAAATTTAAATTTAAAAATGTTTCATTGCTACCTTTTGGTTTTGGCATATAGCCTTTTCCCACTGTCCACTTCCCCAACAAACCCTTTATTATGTAAACAAAATAAAATCCACACATAAAGAAAAACAGGCAAAACACTGACCCAAAGGCCACATCTGTCAGTGGGTACAGCATTCTCAGCCCTCTTCCTTTGGGAGAATTATCTAAAATCCAAATGGTCTCTTCTCCTGTCCTCTAGTTAAGTCATCAGAAGTTCCCCCCATTCTTCCCTTGATTCCAATTTCCTTTACTTTCTCCTGCAGAGTCACGTCCATGCTCTTTCCCCTTCCCAAGTCCTGCCATATGATCAATTCCAGTAATTTCACGGGTGTCAGGGACTTTTCAGGATTTCTTGCCTGTTCCATTACAGGGCCTCCTGGGTGCTGGGGTTCTGAGCTAGAGGCCACCAGCAGTCAGAGTCCCCACCTGCTGCCCACACTTTTGAGACAGCCCTCCAGGTTAGGATTCCCTGACTCAACCACATTCTGATTCAGCTCGGCACTCTTGTATTCTTCTCTTGTGCTTCACTCTCCTGGACAAAACTCATCCAATGAATGACCACGAATGGTCCATCCAGAAAAGGGGAGTATGACTATTACTGAGGCTGACTCTGCATCTTTTCCAAGCAGTTGGAGAAGGCTGTCGCCTCTTCTACTCCAAACAGGGACCACTTCTTCTGCTCACCACCAGCCCTCTACCAGAGCTGTGAATTCAAATTCAACATTGACTAAACCACTCACTATGGAACAGGCACAGTACTAGGCACTGGAGATACAAAGATGAAAAATGATAGTCTCTGCTCTCCAGAAGGCCATGTTCCACTGTGGGGACGACATGTAACCAGATAAGCACATCAAAAGGTAGGGTCTAATAGGGACAAAGGGTCTAGACCAAATGCTCTAGGAACATTTGAAGAGGGAGAAGGGGGTGAGGAGGAAAGGAACGGGAAAGCATCATGGTAGAGTTGGTTCAGGAGGTGAATCTTAGAAGAGAACAAGGAATCCGAGAGGTGGAATTGAAGGAGAGCATTTGAAGCATGGAGAGTGGCTTGTCCAGCCATAGGTGTAAGAGGTAGCATGTCAAGTAGTCTGGTCTGTCTTAAATGTATAGTGTGTAAATCGTGCTAAGGTGAAAAAAGGCTGTAAAGGGAGGTCAGAATCAGATTGAGGAGGGCCTTAAACGTTAGGCTGAGGAGTCAATGGATGGATGTGGGGAGCGGGAGGGAGGGAAAGTGAAGGATCAAACAAGACCTTGAAGTTTTAAGCCTTGGTGACTGGGAGAATGGGAATGTCATTCTAAAAAAATAGACAGAGGTCTGAAGGAGGTGAGGGTTTAGAGAAAGACACTGATTCCACCGGAGGCATGAATCTGAGATGCCTATTGAATGGACATCCAGTAGGCAGTTGTGGATATAGGCTTGGAGTTCAGGGAAATGATCAAGACTGGACACAGAAATCTGGACACCTTCTGAATGAATCAGATACCAAGGGAGAAAATGTTACGGGAGAAGGGAAAAAACTCCAGGATAGAGCTTCAGGAAATACTCTTCCTTTAGGGGCAGGGAGGAAGGCAAGGCAAGGTAAAGCGACAAGCATTTTTAAAGCCCCTACTATGTGCCCAGCACTGTACTAAGCACTGGGAATACAAATACATAAGCAAAAATATAGTTCCTGCCCTCAAGGAGCTTACATTCTGATGGAAAAAAGACAGCATTCCAAAGACAGCTGGCAGAACAGATGGGGCAGGTACCCACGAAGGTACGTGGTGGCAAAGTCCTGAGAGTCAGAAGCAAAGCCAGGAGGGGAATGAAAGTTGTCTTCATTGCATCTACTCCTCCAGGGACCTAGTGCCCCTGTGTTGTCATTGAGCTACCCGAGCTACCCAAAATCCCGGCATCTTTTCTCCCTCCAAGCCTCTTGTCCCCAGCCCCACCTTCTCCCACTACTCCCCTCCCCATTAACCCTGCCCCAATCAACACCTCCCTGAACTGTGACTCTTTTCCTTGGAGTTATTTGAACATACAAGCATTACCACAGAAGGCTCTTTGCCCCTTTGAGAGACATAAGCCCAGTTGAAAGTCCCTTCCCCAGTTCCAGTTACTTGGGAGGGTTCAAAGGAGATGAAGCGGCAATATGGAAATTCTGTAGCATCCAACAGCCCTGAGAGGCATCAGTGGACATTTGGAGTCTGCTGCCTGGGACCTTCTCCTCGAGTTAAATCGGCATCTCCCAACATTCTTGTGCTCCGTCACTGACTAGCTGAGACGTCAGTCAGTAAGGACAATTGGTTTTGAACAAAATGAGTAGAAAGAGGAGGAGAGGTAGCTTCAGCCTATGTGTATGTATTCCACAACTGCTTCTGGGGCCTTATCGGTATAAGACTCTTGCAAGCAAACTAATTGGAGTTCATATGTTAATGGGTGAAAATGAGTCTCCCTTCCTGTTCCATTTTGGAGCTAGACTGTTGAGAGGCTGAGGAAACATCCCTGTGCTACCAACCAGTTTCAAATCCACAAGACAGGAGATGCCCCTTTGGATTAGGGTAGAAAGGGACCTGAAGTGCTGGATGCTGCTCTGGGTCCCACTAGGGTCTAAGCCAGGGGTGGGGAACCTGCGACCTCAGCCACATGCAGCCGTCTAGGTCCTCAAGTACAGCCCTTTGACAGAATGTGTGAAGTTTGGATTCAGTCAAAGGGCCACACTGGAGGACCTAGAGGGCCACATGTGACCTCGAGGCCACAGGTACCCCACCCCTGGTCTAGGCTAAGAGTTGAAGGGGTTGCCTGAAGGCAGGGGAATGACCTCTCCTTGTCCAGACAGTGACTAAGATGATAAAGAGCCTCATAGCATATGATATTAATAAGTTAGCATTTATATAGCCCTCTAGAGATTTCAAAGCAGTGTATGTTATCTCATTTGATAACAACAACCAGGGCAGGTAGGTGTTATGATTATCTCCGTCTTTACAGTGCGGGAAACTGAGGCGGGGAGAAATTAAGGGACTTGCTGAAGGTCCCAGAGCAAGTAAGTGTCTGAGGTCAGCCTTCTTCCTGACTCAAAGCTCGCACTCTTAACACCCTTGTTCTGCCCCCGTGCCTCATGAATGAAAGTCAGTTGAAGAAACTAGGCATGTTTGTCCTGGAGAAGAAAAGATCCAGGGGGCACATACTAACTGCCTGTAAGGATTCAGAGGGATGCCCTGTGCAAGACAGATTCACCTCATTCTGCTTCATCTCAGAGGGCATAACCAGGAGCAATGGCGGGGGAGGGTGGGGTAGGCTTGGGGGCTCTCTTTCAGAACGTGGGTTGAACTGGGCAAGGGAGGGTCTCTGGGGTCCCTTCCAACTCTGACCTCTCATGATTCTATGGAGACACTAACTCCACTTTGCCTTCTCCTGGCACCTTCTTCTCCCTTCCAGTCACAATGATCTACCGTGGCAGATACTGAAGAAGTTCAATGGCCAGCTGCAGCGGACAGAAGCCAACCTGAACTACCTGGAGGGCACACACACCAATATTCCGAAGCTGAGGGCTGGCTTGGTGGGCGGCCAGGTAAGGGAAAGGGGAGGGTCCAGAGAGTTGGGCATGCAGGCCCTGTGGGAAATGCAGGGGGGATGGCACAGATAGGCATATTGATAGGGGCTGTTGCCACAGCAGTCACCAGCTTTCAAAGGAGCAGCTCTGGCTCACTGTCCCCTAGGGAGAAATTCCCCAGCCATCCTTTCTAGCCTAGCTTGTGCCAGCTGCTGGCGCCCTGCCCTGGGCAACCCTGGGCTTAGTTGGACTCTCAGTGTTCTGGGGCCAGGCTCCAACTCCCCTCCTTTTAATTGCTGGGATCCAGGTGCCAGACTTCCTCCAGATGCCCTCCACTGTGAGCCTCCCCCCCCCACCACTATGTTCTGGCCCCTACTTGAACCTCCTCCTCGCCCATATCCCTTCATCCACCCCCTCAGGCTCCTGTTTTCTGAGACAGAGGGACATGGATTTTAATCAGAAAAACAATCTTTTCTAATGTGTTGTTCCACCCTGGCATCATATTGTCTTACTAACTCAATTGTAATCTGTGTGACTCCAGAAGTCCCTTAAGGAACAAATCACACTGTGAGCATTTCAGCCCCACTGCTACTCCCCCTGCCAGGGTGGGGAAGGCTTGGGGGATTTAAGAGCTCATTCAGGGTCTTCTCCATCTCTAGTGACCATACCACCTTACAGGTAAAGATGGCCCTGGTTCATAGGCTCATGATGGGGTCTAGTCTATTTCCCTTATTTTACAGATGAGGAGACTGAGGCACTTACCTGTAATCATATAAGTAGTATGGCACAGGTGCTTACTAGAGAGAATGAATGCCCCTACACCTTAACCAGTCCTAGATCAGAATAGATCCCCGCAGAGACCTCTACTGACTCAGACTCACTGTCCCCAAGTCCAGTGAGAACCTGACTGGGGCAGTAGCCCCTAGCCTTCCTGAGACCAGCTTCCCCCAGACCTCCACAGTTGCTTCTCAGACTGAATGGGGGGGTGCCTCTGGGTGTCACCCTGATAGCTCCCCAAAGCCTTCTCTCCCTTGGCTTGCAGTTCTGGTCTGCTTACATGCCCTGTGATACCCAGAACAAAGACGCAGTGAAGAGAACCCTGGAGCAGATCGACCTCATTTACAGAATGTGCCAGACATACCCTGAGACTTTCTTGTGTGCCACCAGCACTGCAGGTGAGTTCTGCCAGCACTGGCAAGCCCCACTAGGGTTAAGGTAGCTCTGCCCATCTATTCCCAACACTCCCTCACCACGTTCAAGGACCACACCCTGCGTACGTATAAACATTTTCTTAGACACAGAAATGCCTGTCCCAGTAAGTTGATAAACATATCCAGATATTCAATCATTGGGGGCGGTGAGGGAGGAGATCCCATCTAGTCTCTGCAAGTCACCACATCTAACCACAAGGCCACTTGGAATCATCCAGGGTGGGCAGTGAAGGCTTCCCTTCACTAGACCTTACATGCCAAGGTCTTTCCATTACAGATATAAAACTGGCCTTCCAGCAGAAGAAGGTGGCCAGCCTGATTGGTGTGGAGGGTGGCCATTCCATGGACAGCAGTATGGGTGTCCTCCGGGTACTGTACTACCTGGGAGTGCGCTATATGACCCTCACCCACAACTGTAACACACCCTGGTAAGAACTATGGGCTAGACCCTATTGATTCTAGGGGAGGATGTTCTGATCCTAATTCCTTGCCATTCACTTTTAAATTTTTTTCAATTAACAAGAATTTGTTTTCTTTCCCTCCTACATCTTCCTCCTGAATGACTGAACAAAACATAACAATAAGACCCTCATAACAAACATGCATAGTTAGCTTTGCAGTCATTCTCAGGCCTAAAATGGCTCTAACCACAGAATGTCTTGGACTGGGGAATGCAGGGAGTGGGGGGCAGGTGTCTACATGCCATTCTGAGGTGGGATAGAATCCCTTGGTTCATCTGTCTTGGCCAGAGGCCTGCATGTCTTCCTATGATGCCTTGGCTCAGACTCCTGTCTGGGCTTTGGGGAGGGACTGATGGAGGATTTGAGGTCAGAAGCAAAAATGGAGCTGACTGAGGAATTCTAGAGGGCCATTCTACAAGCTTTGGGACCCTCTGGCCTCACCTCCTCACTTGATTAAAGCCCTAGTTCTTTCACTGCCTTCTTGTGTGTGAACCTGGACAAAGCATTCAACCAGTGCCTCAGTTTCCTTAATGGTTAAATAAGAGACAAGTATGACTACCCAAGCCCTGAGGAAGCTGAAGGGGTTAGCCTAGGCCCTCTGTTACTTTTTTTATTTTTCACTGTCACAGGGTTGACAACTGGCTGGTGGATAGAGGAGATGACAAACCCCAGAGCAACGGCCTATCAAAATTTGGAGAGGTAAGCAAAGATGGGTACCGGAAAAGGGGAAGTCCCAGGGACCATGCTCTCCTTAGAGCAAGGGATATACAGCAGGCTATGGAGAGGGAAATGGTGGGAGGAAGAGATCTGAGGGCAGGCCCCTGTTCACTTGGGAGGCGGGCTGGCTTGGGACCAGAGGGACCCGGTGCTCCTGCCCGAGTCCAAGGTATCAGGGCAGACAGAGGGCCACCTCTCCCCTCTGCAGGAGGTGGTGAAAGAAATGAACCGCCTGGGTATAATGATCGATCTGGCCCACGTATCAGTGGCCACCATGGAGGCCGTGCTGTCGGTGTCCCGAGCCCCTGTGATTTTCAGCCACTCCTCTGCCTATCACCTATGTCCCCATAAACGGAATGTACCAGATAATATCCTCCAGCTCGTGGTGAGATGTGGGAAAGGGCTCGGGGTGAGCAGTGGGTGGGTGGAGCCCACGAGGATATATCCCCACCCCCACCCTGGTCATCACATGCTTCTCTATGGCAGGCTCAGCTCCTTTATAGGCAGCTAGGGGGCAAAGTGAGTTAGACAGCTGGACCTAGGGCTAAGAAGATGAGCTCAAATCCCTCCTCAGACACTCATAAGCCGTCTGACTCTGGGCAAGCCATTTACCCTTTCTCATCTGTAAAATGGGGATAATAAATAAGACCTACTTCACAAAGCTATTTTGGGGATCCAGTGAGATAACATATACAGCCCTGGGTAAACCTTTCGAGTGTGACATACTATAAATGCTAGGAATTTCAGGAAGCCCACCATCAGCTCAGCCACCCTAAATTCCCTGCTCCAGGGCTACAGTTAAGAACCAATATCCCCATCCACTTTTCACTAGGGGATGCTACCACTTCACATTTCAGAGGGCATTCATACACACTCTATTTCTTGATTCTCCCAACAGCTTTGGAAGGTTGAATACCTTAAGACCAGATAAACATATAGACTCATAGTGGTTGAAAGTATTTACCTAGTAAGGTTACCCTTAGGGGAGCCATGATGCCTCTCCTTGGCCAGTCCTTGGTGAGGTTTAAGGAGACAAGGGATGAGAAGGCAGCTTCAGAATACTCTGAAAGCCTACAGTATTTCTGATGGGGGAAACCTCCTAGGAAAGACTGCTTTGGGAACTCTCTCTCTCTCTCTGACATGTACACAGAGTCCCCTCTTTCCAAACAGAAAAACACCAGAAGTTTGGTGATGGTGAATTTCTACAATCAGTATGTTTCCTGCCAAAAAGAAGCTAACCTGTCTCAAGTAGCAGGTAAGTGTGGCTAAAGTTACTGAAGACTGGAGAGAAATGGCAGAATGGGCCCCAGGTCCCAATGACCCACTCCTGACTCTCCCTGAACAGATCACCTGGATTATATCAAGAACACTGCTGGACCAGAAGCTGTGGGATTCGGTGGGGATTACGATGGTGTTGACGTGTAAGGAGAATAGGGAAGCTGTCTTGACCCCACAGAGAATGGCATTTGAGAAAAGGCCAAATGACCAAGCTTTCCAGTAGCATGGGCCTTTACCTCATCAGAAAGATACATCTCCCATCTTTTCTTGCCTGGCCTCCATCAATCTCAATTTCACTGTCCTTCCCCATTGGGACCTCCTTTCTGTCCAAAGGTAGGCCCTGGCTTTATGGCAGAAAAGTCATTTCTTTCCTTGGAAGAATCTCTACCTGGAGTCAGGAAACTCACCTGGTTAGGGCAGGGTGTTAATGAGACCAAAGTCACAGGCGTTCAATCCCTACAGCCAACCATTTGGCAATCTTCCTCCAAACAAAGTTCACACAGATATATATGCCTGATTATAAGGAAACTGGGAGAGACTGGGTACATGGCTAAGTAAACCTGTCTCCTTTCCTGGAAACACAACTTAGAGTGGGATCCTCCTAAGACTTGGGGCCTATATAATCTTTGTATGTCAGAGTGACCATTGCCTGCAGGGTGATGACAGCATGCCTTGGGACTCATTCCCACTCTCACTCCCCTTCCCCCTGGAGAACTCCAAGAGTTCTCAGCAAAGTCATCATTTCTCCTCCCAGGGTCCCCACAGGGCTACAGGATGTCTCTAGTTACCCAGACCTGATAGCTGAACTTCTCAGGAGGAAGTGGACTGAAACAGAAGTGAAAAACGCCTTAGCCTATAACCTGTTAAGGGTCTTTGACGAGGTGGAGCAGGTAAGATAGGAACAGACAAGATGGGGGACCAGCCTTTAGGCAAGAATGTTGGATTCCCTTTTCCCTACCATCCTTCCACATCACTCCACTTTTTCTCCAGGCAAGCAACCATAGTGTCCTCCCTAATGAGAACGTCATCGAACTTAATGAGCTGGAAGGTACTTGCAGAACCTCCTATGGCTACAGCCCAGGGGACCACAGCCACCAGCACCGGCCAGGAGTCCTCCCTGTAGTACTCACTCTTCTTCTCTTTTACCTGTGGCTGCTATGATCCTGTCCAGCCCACTGCCACCCCTCAATTCACTAGCTGTCAGCAGGAGCCAAGATGACTGCAAGGCTGGATCTAGCCCAAAGCCTCAAAGAGGGGCCAGATCCATCTCCAAACCAAGCTCCTCCTGATACGTCTACTCTCTGAAAGGAAGATGGTCCCATTTGTGATTCTGGCATAGAAGTACTCCTTCCTCAGATATAGCAAAAGGAAGAATCTAACCTATGCACATCTGGTGAATTTGGTCCAGGCCTAGCAACACACACAGACACACAGACATGCAGACACAGACATACACACACACACACACACGAGATGGGCAAAAAGAAAATTCAATAAAAGTTGCAGTTACTGCTATTTAAAGAATATACCTCTCTTCATACCACTACCATTGCTAAACTGCAGGAAGAGGCACTGTCTGTCTCCACAAAGCAACTCTAGACCCAAGGTCAGGAGACATAGGCAATAGCTTTGCTTTCTTCTGACCAGGTGGCCCCAACCAAGTCAGTTCATCTCCCCTAGTAATCATAATAATAATCCCCTAGAAAATGTAGCTCAAACCTCAGCCTCCCCAAAATGCCATAAGGACATATGCTGCTATGTAAAGTACTTTGCAATTTCCAGAGAGTCTTTTTATAACCCTCCCCCCACCCCACCCCATAGATTAGAAATCAGGCAATCTAGGTCCAAAACCCTGGTGCCATTCATCTACTCCGACTTGGGCAAGCCATTAAATCTCAGTCTCATTTTCCTTCTCTCTCATATGGGAATAATGCCTGTCCTACCTAACAGTTGTAAGAATCAAGTAAGATTAAAAAAAAAAAAAGTGAAGGGACTTTTAAAAATTATAAAGTAGTACTATACAACTATAAGGATTTGTCAGGGATAAGGGGGATATTATTACAATCTTGTGCTCTCAAAAGAATCCTTTTCAGTCTCAAACCAACCTCTAGGCAATAATTGACTGCCAAATGCTCTGTATTACTGTCCCTGAAAAACTTTGCTCATTAGCCTTTGAAATAGCACATGGTTTCAAGCCCTCAACTGTCACTAAACCAGGTGTATGATTTTGGACAAATTACTTTCCCTCTTTCACTTCTCTATAAAACAAGGAGGCTGGTCTCTAAGACCTCTGCTAGCACTAACATTTTAGGCTTCTAGGATGCTCCCAAGTGGGAAGCCATGGGAAGGATGCGCACAAATCCATGTGAAAGATGGCTGTAAGACCACCCTCAAACTGGATGCACAAGTTGATACACTTAGGCAGGAGAGGAAGCCATAAACACAAAGCCAGTAAAGGACTTTTCAAGAACCTCGCTCTGGATCGGTAGAGCAATAGGGACAACTAACCTCTGGATCTCAGGGTCTTCTAGTTCTTCATCCCCCATCAACCTGTGTATCAGTTCCACTACTAGAACAAGTAATTCTTGACATAAAGGCACATAGGCAACAGGCCACCCAACGAGAGAAGGGCAATGATCTAGGTGGCAGCTGTTACCAACATTTAGTCATTGGTCAGTTTCAAAAAATTAGAGGTATTTGCAGCATGCACCACAAGCAAGGGGTTAAATCTTTAGCTTCCCATTTTAGGTTGGCCCCAATGTAACAACAAGAAGTTTGTATGCATTATGAGACCAATTAAAGGCTATGAGGCTTCAGGAAAAAGACACCAGGAGGTCTTGGATCCTCTTTCAAATCCTGGCATGGCCTCACTCTGCAGAGCAGAGCCATCTGACATCTCAAAGTTTCCTGTCTCAGGGGCACGAAGTTGGCACTTGGGTGCTACAGCAGGCTGATCCTCATGGGCTGTTACCTCCAGCTTCCTAGACTGTATTTCAGCACCTCCTGTAGCTTTAGACTAATTGATCTACATCTTAGAATCGAGGAATGTTCAACATCCTGGCTCCCTCCTCCTTAAGCATTAACCCTTCCTCTAGGGAATCTCATTCTTTTCAGGAAGTACATCCCAGGTTATCTGTTGACTAGACAGCCAAGGCCAATGCAAAAAGGGCAGAGCAATGTGGTTTCTATCGTGTTTTTTCGCACAAATTTGTCCATGGGGCCTTCATTCCACCTGGCTCGAGATGGTCTGGGTCGCTTTCTAAACATCGGGAAGACTTGCTTTGCGGGGAAATAGCACCCCCTTGTGGAATAAAAGGTAATTACCTTAGACTTTTGTCTCCGGAAGACTAGATGTTTGCAAATTCTCCTGGCCTAGAAAGGACCTTTGGGGGTGGCTACAGAAGAACTGCACTTCTTTTTAAAGACCATTAAAGAGTCTATCAACCTCCAGGGCCTACAGATGATTCCAGTGGAATCTGGAAGTTCTTCCTCATGTCTGTGTTTGGGCCCTCCACTCCCTCTTGCTCTTACCCACTCATACAGCTATTCCAGCCCCTTCACTTCGCAGAGAACTGAGGCCCAGAACTGAAGTCACTTGCCCAAGGTCACAGGTAATAAGTGTAATAAGAGTCTTTGTCAGGACACACAAATCCATGTTCAACTCTAACTCCAATGCTCTTTCCATCGCACAGCACTGCCCCATTCTCAGGGAACATGGAAAACTAATCATCTCCAAACCTTAAACAGACAGACCATCACTTAAGCAAAAGAGGAAGGGAAATGCTACTTGGCTGAAAAGTCTGGGAAATTCTTATGCTCTGAACATAAGCAGTAAGAATAGGGGACATTAGAAAGGGAAGATGAGGAGTCCTTGGTTATTTACCAATATCATTACCATAAGACCAGAAGTGCCCAAACATTTGCCACCCATTGTTCAGCACCTGAGCAATGCTACCATGAAAGCATCATGGTGGAGTAGGCAGAGACTTGCCCAGTGGTTAGGTTACCTGGAGTCCCAACTCAACCACTGAATTTGGAATCAATATCTAACTTGTTAAATATCTGTTCAACCCTGGACAAACTCAATCAACCTTCCTGGGCCTCAGCCTCACCTTCTGTAAAACGAGGTTGGGTTAGATGGCCCCTATGGAGGACCTTGTAACTTTAAATCTGTGATCCTCTGTTGCTTCTCCATATGTTAAGTGAGGTAGAACAAAATGCCATTTAAAGTCCTTCCATTGGAATTTTCTCTTCTCTTCTCCAAAATTCTCCTGCACCTGAGAAACTAAGGCATCCGACACAAGGGAATATTCCCAGAAGGACTTAGATGGGAATGGCCCAGGTGAAGGCTTGGAGATTGTGACCCAGACCAGTGGAAGACATACCCATATTTATGAATGAGATAACAGATCTTCCATCCCTATTCAAGATGGCAAATCTGTCGGTTTGCTACAATTAGTGAGGGATTGGACAACTTGGTTGAAGCTTGATCCCTCACCCTGCATCCTGTAGCCTCGTTTCCCCAGCCATGCACCTCTCTACCCAGGGCTCCCCAAGCCAAAAATATGAGTTTTCAGGGATAATAATTTGTTTACTTAAAATGACATTGTAGGAAATTAATAGTATTGATTGTTTAAAGGCAAATTCGCCTGTTCCTTTGATGAACATAAGAACACACAGTATCCTCAGGTGCCAGTCTCATCAACCTGTCCAGTGGTGGCAAACCCAGAAGGTCCCTGATTGTAAGGACCTAAAACAGGGTAGAGTTCAACCACACTGTGGATTCCTCCATGCTTCTGACACTGCCCTTTTAGCAGTTACAATTCTCTCTTGGGATGCTATGTTACATTCTTGAGGGCTGTAGAGTCTGTGGAAGGTGTTTCCAAAAATGAGCATCAATACTGGATAGATCACTGAGCTTTTGATTCTCTTCATCTATGATCAAAGTCAGTGGTGGGAAAAGCAGGTCACCACCACCTTAGGAAGCAAACCCAAAGCCTGTCCAGCTTGCACTAAATGGCACCACCCCACCGCTGCCCAAAAGAGAGAAGGATCTTGGGCCTCTCTCCCACTCAAGGATCTAACCCAACACCCACGTTCCAAGCTTCGAAGGAAATCCTTAAAGGGGCCTCCTTATTACACTGAATCCAGATGCTCCCAAGGCCACAAAGATCAAAGGTAAAAGATCAAAAGTAAAGATTTTCAAACATATCTATACACAACTCATAAAAAAATATATACAGTTCCCTTACTATACAGCACAGACAATTTGGGACCTATCTATGGGCATCCTTGATCAAGACTACACCGGAGGGGAGAAAGCTGACCATGTATAGGCAGGCACAAGGTGATTATCTCCAAGTACCAATCTTACTGAGTATGTGTGTGCTGGGGTGGGGATGCGAAAAGGATTTAGCTCAAACTGCCTGCTCCCTCTACAGTGGCAAGAAACAAACAAGCAAAAAAAAAAAAATCCCAAACCCCTGAAACTTCAAGAAAATTAATGAGTTTCAGCAGATGGAAAACTACTCTGGGCTCCCATTTTTTTTCTGCAGGCCTGCAAAGAGCTATTTGGGGGAGAGGAGGAGGAGAGAACAATAAAATCAAGGGCACGATTATTAACCTTTTTTGCTTTTCTCCCAATGGTTCAGAGCTGCAGATAGTCCCTAAAGTCTTACTATCACTGACAGTTGTAGATTAATGTCCAAGCCCACCTTCACAAGGCCACTGTGTCCTAAGTCAAGCCCCAACAACACATGGGAGCAGATGGGGCTTGGAGGAACTGCTTGGGGGGGGGGAGGGGGCGGGGGCAGGAATCATATTTGTAATAGAAGGAAAAAGGAAGAAGAAATAAACAAACTGGCACAAGCACCAGGAAGGCATTATGAGCCTCCCATAGATAAATGGCAATGCTCTCCTGAGGCGCCCAGCCTGAGCCCTCAGCTCACGAGCTTTCCTTGATCTGCTGGGGGGGAATGGGGCCGTGCAAACACACTGTCATTAGCTACCGATCCCATGGCAGAGATTCTAATTATGAATCAATTTAATAACCCAATTTTTGGTAGAGTTGAAATGTAAACCACAAACCCTTCTACGAAACTGAAAGGGGATTAAAAAAATGATTAAAAACCCCACTGCAGTATCTTCAGGGACTATAGCAGAACTCCCTAGGCAAGTGTCACCCAGGAATGGTAAGGCTTATATATAGGGTGTCCCAAAAGTCCTACTGCCATTTTTAAACCTTAATAGCTTGAAGTTATTGGATTCCAACTGGGGCAGGAACCTGGCAAAATGGGCTGATCTAGGCCCAACAGCTTAAAATGGCACTAAGACTTCTAGGATACCTTGTCTATTAGGGATTATCACTATTCATCTGTCTCCTCCAACCTGCCCCCAAGAACAGACTAGTCCCTAAGAGCACGGAAACCAGCTGTTCTCCCTCAAATGCTGAGCTAGCTGTTCACTGAAGGGATCCATTTGATGAAGCAGCTGAACAAGTAACTGAGAGAACTCCAGCTCCTTGTACAAGTCTGGTCTGGGCTAGGAAGTCTACACCTTGGACACTTGGAGAGAGAGAGAGCTCCTTCTTAAAAGGCCCCTCACTGAGAGGGAAGGTTTCAAAGGGCCACTTGATCTGCACCAAGCCAGACTCACCAACATGGCCAATCTCTTATCACTGGAGGGCCCACTCAGCAGCCAGCTCCTTATGTATACAGTCACTGCTCAAGAAGGATGGGGTCTCCCGTCACACACCCACCTCTGTAGAGTCTCTTTCTGATTTAACCGACATCTGCAAAACGGAAATCTGCTGGGTGCATTTAGCCTTGGCCAAAGCTACCCCACTCACCCCCCTGCTGGTTCAATTTTACATGGGAATAGGACCCAGACATGCAATATATTGGAAATGAAGCAATACCAAAGAATCTAATCACCTAAAGCCCCTAAGATAACCACGTAGTGTTGCATTAAGATCAAGTCAGTATTCCTTCAAGTGTACAGAAAAGAAAGATTCCTTTGGAGACGTCAGAATCCAGACAGCACTGCCAGCCCTCCAGCAGCAGCACAGCTGACAACACACAAGCCCAAGTGATGCAGTGGGGTCTTCCCTGTCAGTGCTCTGGGGGAGGTCCATTGGCATAGAAACAAGGTACAAATGGACGGTAGGAGCTCACTCCCCACATAGAGATCCGCACCCAGAGAAAAGGGTAGATTCCAATGCCATCAGAGACGGGCAGGGCAAAGGGTAACAGCAGGAGCTGGCTGCTTCTCTTCGCAGAGGCTGTGGAAGGGTAGGGGGATGGAGAACACAGCTTCCCTCCTGCTTCCTTCCAGGGCATGATCAGTGCAGGGAAAGCAGTCCATCAGGCTGAGGTACAGTTTAGTTCCGCAAGGCTGCCAACCTGGGGAAAAAGGAGATGGTCACTCTGGCAGGATCAACATCAAGAACTCCCACTCTCTTGGGAAAAAAAGAGGAGGCTCCTCTTTATATTTGGGCCCATCAAATAAAAATATCTTTGCAACCAACATCTTAATTTCACAGGTCCTAAGATCATACTAGGAAATACTGACAAGGGAACTGGATTGGAAAGAGGTAACTGAGTAAGCTAGGAGCAGAAACCTGCCCAAGCTGGCTTATCTGAGGACTGGAAACACGATTAATGGCTTAACTTGGCCCCTGGCCCCCCCCCCCCCCCCCCCCCCCCCCGTGAAGTCAGCTGTTTGACATATGCAGGAGGGTGCAGAAAGGAATGGCAAAGTGGAGAAGAGGATACAGGGTCAAGAACTGAGTTCTGTAAGGGTTAATGTTCAGCCGTCATTCAGTTCAATAAATTCAGGATCACAGGGCTCAAGATACTACAAAATAACACAGGTGTGACATATTTACATGTTAAGTCTACCTTCCCTTGTTAATGAAGCCTTCTCCAACGACTCCAGCACACACTGCTCTCTCCCTTCTATGTGATTCACAAAGAGTTACCAAAGGATCTTGAAGATACTAAAAGGCAACGGAAGCTTGAATTTCCCCCCACCTAGATTGCCCGGGAGGCAGGTGGACGGGGAAGCACATCTTACTTTTCATATATGCCTCAGTTGCCTAGCACAGGGTCAGTGCTCTGAAAATACTTGCTATTTCTGTTCTGTAGCTAATGGTTTTAAACTTCTACTGTCCTTCACCCAGATGGCTAAAATGGCACACGGTCTTGTAGAAGCCTTCCGAGCCTTCAGCAGCAAGACCTTACAAGTGGTCTCACTCAGCTTATCCATAGCCTAGGAGCTGAAACCTAGGAGCGTTTCCCCCATGGCAGTGTGATGAGTCGTGACCTGACTGT